CCAAGCTGTCCTTCTCTCCAGACATGCTTCTAGACSCTCTGTTTCTTGCAGCACACAGATGAAACAGTATTTCCTGGTCAAGATTGTGCTGCTGTGGGGTGGCTCTCTGGCCCACACAGGTTGTCCTCTTCTTGACATCCCTGGCCAAGTGCCCATGGATGCTGGGGAAGAAGCAAAGATAATGGTCAGGTTTATGTGCTCTGACCTAAACAGCAAATTCCTCAGCCTCTTGTYAGTGCTGCTGTCCTGAATTAGGTGAGTTAACCCCATAGATCTGTTCTTATTCCACATGCTTTTGCCTTTATCATCTGGTTTGGTGCTAAAGAGCTACAGTGCCCTTTCTGCTTTGAGATGTCTTTTGCATTTGCTGCTTATTTCTGTTTCCTCTCTGCTGTGCATTTATCAGGAGAATTCCATCCCTGTGTTTCTGCAGACAGCAAGCAAAAGCTATCACTTGTCATGTAAAACAAGAGCTGTTCGGTGGCTGGCTCTTACATGTTCTCCTGCTATGTGGAATTCTGATCCTAGGAAATCTTGTGGGAGAGAAGTGCTTATGCTGTTGGATTTTAATATTTTGAGAGACATTTTCATGCCTTTTCCAGGCATTAAATACAGCTGGAGGAGGATATCACTGGGGGTCACACATTTTCTGCTCACATTTTTCAGGTTTCCTGTTTCCTCAATAATGCATTGCAGACATCCTTTCTGGGTCTAGATTTGCCTGTCCACCACCATGGTAACAACAGATGGTGACACTGGAGAAGTGACAGTGAGGGGAGTGGCCTGGACATTTCTGAGCTCAAAGGCACTGAGGGAGTTGGAAGGTTTAGAAAGCAGAAGGGATTGCAAGCCCAACCAGCCTGAGCTGGGGCAGGGGTGTCAGGGTCCTGGCTTTTTCTTTTACTGGAATAGAGCAAAACTTTGAGAAAGAGACTCTTAAATCTTCATGGAGGATCTACGAGAAGTGCACAGCTCCCTGGTAAGCCRTTCCACTTGATACTTGTCCACATGATTGTCAGATTCTTTTCAAGCTGAGCTTGTCTTCAACTTCCAGTYCCTGCCTGCCACTCTCTGTTTGCTGGTTTGCAATGCTCTCTGCTGATAGAGAACTTCTTCTCCGTGCTGACATCCTCTGTTGTGGTTTACTGTKCTCAGAAATTATCCTCGCAATAATTCTCCTAAAATAGGAACAAGATATCAAAGTAATAGTCCAGTCTTTCTGATCTGTCTAAKGAAAAGGTGAATCTACACATGGGTACCTCTGAGCACCTTTTCATTGTTCCATGTGGCTGGGCACAGGGTGTGCCCTGCTTGGAGCTGGGTTTGGGAGAGCTCTGAAGCCTGTCTGTGCTGTGCCATTTGTGGAGCTGTGCCAGATGTGGAGCTGTGCCAGATGTGGACTGGTCTCTTGGAACACTATCTGCCAGTTGCTTCTACCTCCTGTGCAGTCTCATGGCCCTGTCCTTGCTGTGTCCCAGCAGCAGGATTGCCTGTCATCATATGCCACATTAACCAAAACTTCCCCCACATGGATGTACAAACATCCAAACATCCCAGTTTAACTGTGCTGATGCAAGAAGGGACTGCAGATGGCCTGGCTGGGACAGGGTTGTGTCTGCTGGGGAAAACAAAGCGAGAAAATTTCTTCCTTAGGTCACCTGTTTTGACAGAAAAGGGCCGATATGCTACCCACTGTGGCCTCTCTGACACTCTCTTTTCTGAAAAGATGGTTTGCTGAATGTGCCAAAACTATGAGGTACYTAATCTGTGATGCATTATAATGCCCACTATAATATGCACCTATCCCAGATCCCATCATCCCACACTAGCTATGCCAGAGCATTCTGGGCTTCTACATGATGAGTATAGGGCTTGTGATATGGCAAGGGGGAATGGCTTTAAACTGAGAAAGAGTAGGTTTGGATTGGACATTAAGAAGAAGTTCTTTACTGTGGGGTTGATGAGGCCCTGGCACAGGTTGCCCAGAGAAGCTGTGGCTGCCCCCCAGGTGAGGCCAGGTTGTATCATGCTTGGAGGARCTTGGGAAGGTGTCCCTGGCTATGGCAGGGGGCAGAATGAGGTTGTCTGTATGATCCCTTCCAACCCAAACCATTCCATGATCCTGAACGTCCTAATGCCTTTTAGCCCTGGCCTCACCTGTCTCCTGCCTGTGGCCCAGGACCATGTATGGGTAAGGTGTGAGTACAGCTCTTAGAGTAATCCTGGAGATGGAAATCAGACAGCCTTCTTAGCTGTTACTGCAATTACTGGGGGACTGCACTGGTCAGACATGCTCTTTGCAAAAAAAGTTCTTTTTTTCTTCCTAGTGTTTTATTACATCAGGTGAAACAGTAGAAAGGGGTGTCTGATGGAGAGGTGGGATGGAAAAGCTCCCCTGTAAGACAGGTCATAGGGGCTGAGCAGCACCAGAAGAAAGCTTGCACAGTGCAGCTGGTGCTGGTACAGCCCATGTGATAAAAGCATCCATCAGTGCCATACAGCTGCCCACTGTTCTGCATTGCTCTACAAACAGTGCAACACCTCCAGGGGCTCCATGCCTATTGTCAGTCTTGAYTGAGAATAAAACCAAACAAAAGAATGATGCTGCAGGTATCAGGACTGGTGGTGCCAGGACATTGATTTATGGAACAGGAAATAAGTACATGGYTTTGGAGCCATATTAGAAGTGGCATTGCATAGCAAAACAAGACATTTCTGTAAACGAACATACCATGTTGGAGTTGAATTTGAATAACCCAGAGGTAAAACTGGGGTAGCTTGCTCTTTCTAAGAGTTTCATATTTTCATTAGTAGGATCTAGAGCTTTCATGGGAAACAGAGAGGYATTTCAGTGGCATGTGTAGAGAGGTCCTGCCCCTCGATCACAGACTAAAATGGTTGCACTGGTTTCATTGAGAAAAGAATTTCATTTAGTGCATTTCTAGGCAATAGAATAACACAATAATGAGAGCATGTGCCTTTGGGCAGGCTGATGTCTAAGAAAAGTTTTCACTTGCATTATAAGTTAAGAAAAAGATCAATTAGTAACATAAACTGTGAAAGCTACTGCTTTCCCACACATACAGCAGGGTGAGTAGAACTGTAAGTTGATTTGATTAAACCTTAGAGAGCAGAAACACAGGGGACAGGGATAGATGGCAGAGATGCTACTGATTAACTCTGCATGCCACCTTGCCATCAGCACACAGACTATGAGATTGCAGTTTTACACCTGGGACAGTCCCTTCAGATCTCCTGAGGCAGATTGTTCAGTTGATATTGGGCCAGCTGAGTTTCCCAGTATCTCAGTGTATTTCTGCTCAAGGAAAGGAGCGAAAATCTGACCCAGCACAGGTTCCATCTGTGGTGCAGTGGTGAGACAGATTCACCTCCCATTGGCCTTGTGTCCATCTGGCTGCCTTGCACCTCTGACCTGGTTGTGCCAGGTTCACTTGTCAAGGCACAAGTCCAAGATCATTCTCCAGCTCAGTGCCTCAAGAGCCACTGTAATAAGAGTTTTCTGAAACTGAAAAGAAACATAAAGTAGACTGTTGGCTCCAAAATCATTAAATGTACATTTTATTCTGGGTTGRACAGAGTTGGAATTTCACTCAGAGGCTGGGTGTGCAGAAGGACACATCACAAGTTTCTGTCTTAGGATGCTGTTCATATGGCTGTCAGTGTTTGAACAGTATGTGCAGCAGATGCTGGTCATGGCTGCTTGTGAATCCAGTGCAGTTACTTCAGACCTGCTCCCCACCATGTCAGAAGGCATTTTCTGAACAGAGATTAGCTTCTRTGGGATAAATAATTCCATTTCACATATTTTTCCTTGTTCGTTTGCTTTTCTTCCTTTGAAGATAATTAAAACAGAGACACAAGTGAATGCCTCGAATGCCTGGTGTGCCTTAGAGAATGTGGAAAGGCAAAGTGGAGCTCTCTGGGTGTGAGCCAGTGAGGGTGCTGCCTCCACAGCTGCAGCCCTGTCAAGTTGTGACTGTCAATCTTTGGCCATGCACCTTATCTCCCTGCTTCCAGTGTTCCTGGGTGAAGGGATCAGAGGGTGTTCATGTCTCCTTTGAGGTGAAGCCCTCTTTGCCAGTCTCACATCAAGCAACTGCTGTAAATCCAAAGCTACCAAGGAACCATCAAAACTATTTGTGAGAGGGAATATTCTAGGTGATGCAAGGTAGTGCAGACAATTACATGCACTTCAGTTTCACCCCTTTCTTCTTACACACCCTCAAGCTTCACTGAGGCTTGCAGCTGAGTTGGTGAAGAGATGGGTAGCTGATATGTGGCACCTGAACCCTGATAGCAACTCTCTGTGTGTGCCTGGAAAACAGATGACAGCCTGGTGTTCACCTGCTTTTCCTAATTATCTGGGTCATTCTTAGTAATCTGGATCCTAATGATCTTGTATCTGGATGATATGGATCMAGATTATGTGTAGATCACTAATGTCTGCATTTCTAATTACGTGCATTATTAGCATAATGAGCATCCTAATAAATTTACTTCAGCACATGACTCCTAGAGGCAACATGGCTCTGCAGTCTTGGAACTGTCTGAAGGTGATGGTGCTGCTGTAAAATAAATAGTGACAGCGTTTCATGATCAATGCTTTGACCCACTGGTGTATCCATGTGAAAGTAAATGAGGGTCAGATGCCTACCCCGCTTTTTCAAACACTTGATCATTTTATGCTTTGCATTTTACTGCTTAAGGAGAGTCATTTTCTGTGACAGGTCCAGGTGCTCTTGGGACATTAAATACAGAGGGGTTCTTTTCTGTCCCAAGGGGTAATTTCTTCAAGGRAATGTTGCTTCATGTTCTGGAAGAAGCTGGGACAGATGAAGGGAGAAATGGACTGAAAGTCTTTGGGTGTATCAGAATCTCTTGAATGCCAAACCACATTATTTCTGTCCAGCTGTGTGTCTGGTTAGACTTTACATTATGTAGATATTTACTTAATAGGTTGKTTTTTTTCCTTTTCTCAGCAGAAGCCCAGAAAGGCAGCTCCTCAGGCAGGAGAAGATACCTTGAACAGCCACCTTCCCCCCGGCTGGCAGAGCTACATGTCTCCCCAGGGTCGCAGGTACTATGTGAACACCTTCACAAATGGTAAGTGGGAGTGGGGTTCTGGTAAATGTTTCACCATCCCAGCACAGATCTGTTTCAGGAAATCATCTTGCTAGTTGATTTTGATAACAAAGTAGCTGCAGAGCCAAAGTAATTAATATGACCATACGAAGGAAAATATAAGATTAAGTCTTACCATCCCTGTCATCTTAATTCTGACTATCAGAAGACATCTGAAATGTTTACAAAAGACAGAGAATGTAAAGTAGGAATGCCCCCATCATAAGTGTTTTAGAATATGAAATACTGTTAAAGATACATAGTTTTTACCACATTCCCCATTTCTTTTACCTAGAGATATTTATGTCTATATATATGTATATGTGTACATGTAAAGTAGTTTGATAGAACATTAGATATCACTAAAGCACCATTTAGGAAAACAGAAATAGTGAACTGGTCAGACTTATCTTGCCCATAGAGACAAGGAAGGAAAAACACATGTAATGGGACAACACAGAGAAAATTTTCAGTCTATRTTTGTGTGTTCTATTCACTGTGATGTTGGTAGAGGAGCAGAATTAACTCATAATCTTATAATCTGTTTAAGACCTGTCAAACTTGTACTGCCTCCAGTTTACCTAAGTTTCTGTGTCTACCTGCTCTTCTCATCATGAGCTCACAGCGGCATTGCAAAACAGGGTCTTGTGACCAGCAAACCCACATTTCTTTAGCAAAAATATGCCAGAGTGACAGGAAGGAGAGGACAGCAGAAGATAATCTTGTTCACAGCAAAGTTGCAGCCATCAGGAATGAACACTGGCATTCCTTTAGCTTACTCACAAGGAGAGCCATGGGCTGTCCCAATGCACCTCATGGTGTGTTCAGGGACTGGTACGTTTTATTTCAGAAGCCTTTGGCCTAGAACTTTGCCAAGTCATTATTTACTGGCATATGATGCACTTACATCTTACAGGACACTCCCTCCAGAAAATACATCTCCACAAGGTACATTTCCATTTAACCCTGCCTCCATTTTCAAGCACAGTTTGCTCTGGCTGATGGGCAGCACCTGGGGAGATCAGCAGGAGGGAGATACCCCATACCCACTGCAAGTCAAATGTGGGTGAGGAGGTGATCATACTCAGTTCACTGAGTGATGGACCCATATTCACTGGGTTGTGGCCAGATAAAACCCGTAAGAGGCASAGCCTGTTTCTTTTGTGCTAAGAGYTCTTGTCACAGGGATCCTGCCTCAGAAAGGTGGATGGGACTAAGTTTCTCCATAATGTCAGGCAGTTTTGTACTTCCCTTATAAAAGTTACAAATAATACAACAAGGGTCAATAGCTCTATCCTGCTTGTGAGTTCAGGCCAGAAATCACGAGATTTCTTGTTCTTCTAGGAGGGGCGGATAACTTTGGCACAGGGAGGCAGAGGAATCTCCATCCATGGAAAATCTCAGAAACTGGCTTGACAGAACAGTGGCTGATCTGTTGTTAGCAGTGATCCTGCTCAGAGCAGCTGGGCTGAAGACTTYCAGAGGTCACTTCTAACCAGCCTTTCTCAGGAGAATGCCCAAACCATCTATGATTGTGCTCTCAGCTATTACAGTGGGATTGTTGTGTGATTCTCAGAATATCTTTTATGTTAGAGAGGRTAGAAGTGGGATTTCTGTGTTTTGAGCCTTGCTTTAGGGATCACTTACACAATTGTGTTTACATGAGAATCTCACCAGACTAGTCCTAAGCCCTGTTGGCTTTGAAGTTAGGCTTGCTCTTCTTTCCTGTGCTGGATTCAAGAATCCTGCATTTCTGAGTAGCATTTTGTGGGACAACAGTAATCTTCTGCAGCATGTACGGAGCACTCTGACCCCTATCCAGCTTACTTGGTGTTCCTGGCAAGCTCAGTTTGTCTCAGCCTGCTCACTTRGAATATGCTGCTGCCTCAGTCTTCTAGCTGCACAGAGACTGTGTGGTAGGTGTAGGCGAGGTGATATTTTTTGCACTAGCTGGGCTGTATTGCACGATCAGACTCAGATCTCAAATGCCTGTGCTTCCTCAAAGTGGTTTATGTGCCCAAGAAGTGTCACCTGTGGTGTCATCTAAGCTTCAGATAATGCAGGATGCAACCTCCAGGTTGAAGTGTGTGGTGAAACCTTATCCAGTCCTGGGCTTGAGCAGCTGTCTGGTCACTGTTTGGATTTMATCTAATGGGCTTTGACCTTTGGTCCTGCAAAACTTGTAGTTCAGGACTATCCATAGGCTCACATTTGTCAAGTTTTGTGATGCTACACTGTCCTCCTTGACTGTGCTGCAGAGTAAGACCAGCTGAGCCATGCAGTCATCTTAAAGTCACATTTGGCATGTGAGACTTGCTCCCAATAGTGGGACTGCACTTTGACACTTACATTGTATTCTCTGGGTTTGAGCCATATGATAAGTCAAAGACTACTATAAACTTAGTATAACATACTATAAACCTTACARCTGCAGTCCCCATCTTTTCTGTGGTAAAGCTGTGTTGCCATAGGGATGTTTATTGCCAGTCTCAAAGACTGGACAGCTCACTGCTGACTTGTCTGAACTGCTTATTTGTCCTGTTTCTGCTGCAGCTGCTGTTGGGAGTACCAAGATAAACACTGGCAATGTTTGTCACGAGAACACAGTGCTGGCACACATCTGTGTCACAGGACTTCATGGCCTCTGTGCTGCATTGCCTCCTCAGCACTGTTGTTTCAGCAGCAGCAGCCAGGTCTCCTCTCCATCAAGGTGTAGATGTATTTCTAGGCTGCTCTTGCTTTATCATAGCTATCACCAGATGATGAAACTATGCTGAAGCATTTGAGAGAGGTATCACTGTTTAATGCACACACATGGGAACTCAGAGGTCAGTGGAAGACAGTTTGTTGGCCTTCAGTGGCCTTCATAGATCACTCCAGCCTTCAGTGAACTGTGTAGTTAAAGTTCTCCTRCTCAGCATTACCCACCAGCAGCAGTTGATGCAAAACTCTTGGTGGGTAAGGTCACCACTGCTTCTCCCAGGGACCAGGAATCTCTTCACAGTAAAGAGAGGGTAACAAAGGGAGGGAGGCAGGGACGGAGGGAAGGAGTGAAGCAGGAAGGCAGCAAGGAAGGGACTCTTTCCATGGCATAGAGCATCCAGCAGTATCCTCAGCTCTCCTCAGCTGGAGCTCTCCCAGCAGTTCCTTAAAGCTCTGCCTTTCCCCTGTGCTGTGTGCACTCAGGGGATCCTGTCYAGATGCTTCCATCCAAGACTGATCCATGCAGGGATGCAGCTGCTGGGACCCTGACAACAGTGTCATACTGCAGGCTGTCTCTGATCCCACTTTTCCAGAGTCTGCTACTAAATGCAGTCAGTTGCTGGAGTGCTCCACTATGGCTTTTCCTTTAGGGCTGGTGTTAGACAGAAAATGTATCTGTACACATTTTTGGCTGAACAGCTCTCTGTAAGGCTTCTTGGAGTCTGGGGCAGACAGATCCAYACTCTTGCTTTCTTTTTGTACATGTCCCTYATCATGCATCATGCACGGGTGGGTSTCTCGTGCATGAGGTGAAAGGGAGTCACACAGCAGTATGGTAAGCMTACAGTGGAAGCTCCAGGCTTTGGGTCCACTTGTCTGTAATATAAATGTGTTTGGACATCCTCAGAGTGGTATGTCCCTCACTTGCAGGACTCCAGCTGTCCTGGGTGTCCAACCAGTTGCCTTGCCAGTCAGTAGGAGACATATCCCAGGGCAGAGAAAGGGGATTCATCCAGGTCAGGGCTGTGGCTGAGCCGTGGGTCAGGTGCAGAGCATCCCTCTGGGACCTTGCTGGCACCCAGTGCCTTTCCAAGGGGGAATGCTATCAAGAGCAGGCTTTCTTGGCAGCTCTGTGGCAGTTTTAGCACTTCCATCATTGAAAAGCACTGATGAGAGGAGGTATGGGCCTCATGGGGTAGAGCTGTGTGGCTAAACATTTATCCAGCAATCGGGCAGGGTCTGTGAGATGGAGACCTGTGCAAAGGAAAGGCAATTGATGGGAAAACAGATCTTAAAAGCAGCAAAGGCAGTCTGAAAGCTGACTAGAGGGAAAACAAAGAGGGGACCATAGTTAAATTACAATAAGCTGCTGCAAAACTGTTTGGCAGAGCATCCYCAGAGCATGGTCATCAATGGTCCCTTGTCAAAGGGGAGTTTGTACTGAAGGGAATCCTGCAGTGATCTGCCCGAGAATTCATTCTAGGCACTATTTCCAGTGATGAATGGCATGTTGACATTGAGAGCACTTATTCAAATGATAACTTTTAACTGGAACTGGGAGAGAACATGATGTTCTCTCCTGCACAGAATAGACTCAGAATTCACAATCACCCTGGAACAGGAGGATGCTGTTCAGTAAAGAGGCAATTAAGATCAGAAATTTCATCAAAAATAATTAAGTGGCAAAGACAGGCAATGGAACAGTTTATAGAYGAACACATTGGGGCTCTGGAGGATCTAAAGCTGAGTGTGAGCCAGCAGTGTTGTGCCAGCATTTTCCATTGTATAAATAGGAGTGTTGTCTGTGAGGCATGAAGTAAGCCTCCAACTTTACAGGGAAATTATAAAGCCTCAGCTGGAATATTTTATCTTGTTTGGATCCACACTTCAGGAAAGATGTGAGTCAGTTGAATAAAGCCCAGAAATAAGTAACAAAAATGATAGAAAACATAACCTGTGAGTTAATGCTGAGAGACTGGAGGTGTCTGCCCTTAGGAAGGAAGTTGTGGACAGGGTCATGAAAGCAGGCTTAAAGTGCTTAAAATGCCATTCAGGAGAAGACTGTTTGCAGTGCCTGTCATCATTAGAAGATACAGTAATACATTTCAATTGCAACCACGACAACTAACCCTTCCAAGCTCTCTTGGAAGTCAAATGTGGGAGTATGGAGTTGCCTGGGAGTCTGTATGACCAGAGCAGGTTAATGCAAAACCATGAAAGTTCACACTGGCCCTGCTCCGGGGCAGAGGAGGGACAGTGATTTCCTGAAATTCCTGTCA